GTCCTCTGTACTATACTGATGAAGTATCTTACAGTTTGTTCTCTTACGCCGCACACAATCCAACACAGGTCCAAACCCAGTTAGAATGTACCCATTGTTACAGGGCGGCACCAGTTCCCCATATCATTACCAGGCTGCACAGGATGCTCTTAAAATCTAAACAGGTAAAGGATTGGACAAAATAAAATCTAATGGAAACTATTGTTAATTTTTTTTTAAATACAGCCACAACAACGACTGTGGTTTTTAGACCGGGTGAGACCAGTGAAAGATGATTCATAGAGAGCTTTTACTGAAGTTATTTTTAATTTTGATTTGGGGGCAACGAAATCTAAAACAACACTAAAAGTGAGTAACAAAAGAAACAAACAGCTGAAAAAGACTTCTGTCCTGCATTGTCCAGGATAAGCATCCTAACTTGTTTTTTTGAGATCTGGTCAGCCTACTTGGCAGCTGCAGACCAACGATATCAGTACCTGGTTTAAGGACAGTGGTATCCCGGTTCCCCGATTGGTCAGTAATTTTATGTGTTGTGTTGTTTGTGCGGATCAATCTTATAAACAAACATTATCTATAACAAAACAAAATTAGAAAATCTATACAAACAAATACTGATTTCTGAATGGTACTGCCAGCAGATGGCATCATCTCTGCTTATTCATGCTCATCATCCCCAATGTTTGAATTCAATTTAAACCCAGAAAGAACTATTAAACCACTCTCTGTACAGATGCTTAGGGAATATAGCCTTATTTAAACTTTTGTACAGACATATAACGTGACTATGCATCTTAAAGCTTCACACAAACAGGTCATCTAGGAATACATGCATTTGTTGACTTTTCCTTAAAAACTCAGGAATACCAAGAAGTGTTGATCATAGGAAGTTTAATAAAAATATTGCTGAGTATGTATATTAGAACATGTTTCAGATATTGTGTGGATCAGGAACCATTTGTTGTTTTGTTTTAAGGTTTTAATCCATTCAAGTTGGCAAGACTTAAGATTCTTGTTGCACTGCCACACTGTTACTGTGACAGAAATCTAATGCTTTAGAGGAGAACCTTTGAGAAAGCTTTCTCTACAGAGTTGGCTCTGACCTTTAGCTTGTGCTCTTTGCGATTGATGATGACTGCAGTGATCTGTTGGTCCATAAAGATGAGGATGGTGCAGAGTAAAGCAGGAACTGCTGCCACAAGCAGCGTCCACCAGGGGTTTTCTCCTAATGGGTCCATTAGCCAGCCTCTGTTCTTTGATGTTGGCTACAGGGAAAAGTGACGGTTTCATTTAGTTCACAGGGCATGAAACTATAAAATAAATTAATATCTAAAACAGGAATATATGCCAACCTCAAAGCGATCAGGGACATGCAGCTTAGGACTCGGGATCCCCATCAGATAATCAACCACCACCATTATCATTATGGTTAGAAACACAGCAAAGTCGCTGATGGTGGAACGCACCTATAAGATAAACACAAACAGATATGCAGAATGGGTCATCTTTATGTGTTAATCAGTTACATTAAAACTACTTCATTTCAAGAAATAACTTTCTGTAGACACAAGTTTGCTGATAATACTGCCGTCAACAGTTAGTCACACAATGCCAACGTCTGCCCACATCAAGTGGTAATAGGTTCGATGTTAGTGTGTGGGAGAGGGCGCTGAACTTTTTACACACACAACTGCTGTGTTACTAATGAAACATAAACATTTACAAAATAGGAAAACCTTCATGCAACCACCCACACTAGTTTATACCCAGGGGTACAACAGATTATTTTTCTTTGTATCTGTATTTACTATTTAACAGCATATTCAGACATTTAATCAACTGGACTCTAACATGTGAAACACATTACCTACAGAGTAATATCTTCAAGCCTGTATGGAATTTTTACACTTAAAGCGAATGAAAATACAACATTTAAGGTCAATTATACTGTATGTGGGTGCTGCAAGGTGGTGCAGCAAGAAGATCCTAAGTTCCACTTCCAGCCTAGAGTTGTTTTGAATATTCTCCTTGTGCATGCATGGGTACACCCCAGGTACTCCGTGCTCTTCCCACAGTCCAAGAACATGACTATGAGGTTGACCGGTATCTGAATATTGCCCTTAGGTGTGCCTGTGTGCATGTCTGTATTGTCTTGCAATGGACTGGTGACCTGTTCAGGGTGTACCCCATGGGTGCTTATCACCACTGCAGCAGATCCTCAGTGACCTTGATGGATGAGTGGCAGAAGATGAAGGGATTTATATTTAAAATAATATTTATGTAATTTTAAGGACTTCTTTGTTTCATTGTATATTATATACATTTAATACAGACATTTAGACTTAATAAAAGTTAATTTTAAAACCTTAAAGTACATTCCAAAAAGTACATAAAATCTATCAAACAAATCTTTTTGGAATGAATATTCTAACTTGCCCCCAAAAATCTCACCTTTGTGGGAAAGTATCTCTCTGTCTTAAACTGCTTGAGGAATGAAGACAAGAAGAAGGTGGTAAAGAAGAGGATAATAGACCAGAACAGGACATCTGGGATGTAAGGACCATGGTGACCACAGGCAGAACCCACAAATTCACCATGGAGCAATTTGCACATCTAGAGAAAAAGGAAAATACAATAACAGTGTAAAGTGAGTGTTTAATTTGTTACAAATAAGTATTGAAAGCAATTTAGGACTTTTACGTTAAAAAAATACAGTTCAAGTAGGGCTGAATATATTTGTACGTTATTGCAATACCCACTTAATTGCATGTGAAAATATTATCCACACAACTAGTATTTCACTAAAGGAGTTTTAATTACAGCATAGTGTACAACTTCCTGAGTGAAAATAATACAGTAGTTCTTAAACAAGAAGTCTCTTTTGTTCCAGGACTTTTTTCATAAATAAGGTTTACTCTTAAGTTATCTGCAGCCTCTTACTCAAATATTCATATACCCTGAACTTTTAGCATTGTGCTCAGTCACAGCCACAGAGTTTTTTAGTGGTACTTAAAGGAATAGTACACCCAAAACATGATTAGCCTTCATTTTCTACTCACCCCCA